GTTCCATAAAAATGGAAATGTTATACAATTCTATTAAGGCTGCATTTTAGTACCTATCATAAGCATCTACAAATTCCGAAAAGCTGTATCAAATGCAATATACATTGAAACACGTGATCGCACACCCATATGACAACGTGTTCCAATGTTGCCTTAGCATGCTTTTAAAATTGTTCCCGTGAGTTCGAAATGTGAGTGATTACTATTTTTGATACAAAATTCAATATTCCAGTGTAACCTTTCCTGGACCCCGTATTAATAAGGAATGACCTTTAAAAAAAAGAGAAAGAATATCAAATTTTGAAAAGGTCTCTTGCTATCGGAAGAGAGCTATGCGAAAATTGCATGCCTACCTTTGTTACTTGTAATTAGCCATCATTTCCGTCAATTCCGTCTTGACTTATGTCATTTACATGTTCATTTTCTTAATAATCGGTGAGAACAGATGAGCTTTATTTATATTATTTGAAACTGAACATTAAATTGTTAAAATTATAAATGGTTAAGCTACAATATATTTTTGCAAGTAGGTTATGCGTTCCGTTTAGTCATTTTATGTTCAGCGCGGCGGAATTTTACCGCTGATTTTGTCGTACATGTATTGCATTTCTTTATCGCCGATGGGAATGTATTTTCTATATTTGCACTTAAGTATCGTTCTTCTCCATTAAAAACTTTAAAGTTTCAAAATCGAGTTACATATGATACAACTGAAGAAGGTGTCCATTTTGCAAAGGTATTTTACGCTGTGCACCGATAAATTGGATACAGATATAGGCAGACATGATTTTTCAACAGTATTTGAGAGGTTTTCACAATATTGAACAGAAAATTTAGGTCATCGAATTTTCAACAGGCTAGAGACATGGCATCTTAACATACCTTTATACTAAAGTGTGATTTTTATTTGATAATAAATTGCCTGAAAACTTAAACAAAAGTTTTCAGAAAATGACTTCACAGAGGATAACCCCCTGTTAACATTGAAAATTTCTCTGCTAGTAATACCGAAATAAGAAATTTAAATGATTCAAATATTTATAATTTAAAACTTCACACAGATGTTAATAAAAACCTGCTTATTTGTACAACTGATGTTAACAAAATTTTGTTGGGAAAAAAAATCAGACAGATGTGTCCGACCGAGGCCGAGCTGTTTATGTTTACTGAATTCAAATCACTTGAACTGAACTGCTATGAATTCGAAAACCACCAGGGACTTTTTATTCTTTCGTGTGGAAAGCCTATCAAGCTAGTTTCAAAATGTCGATGGTTCTCTGCAGGTGCAACATTTTGCCTGAAATAATGCACAAAGGCGCACCTGAGGTCCTCGCTCCTAGTAAAGCTAATGTGTAGAGTGAAAGTTTGAAAACAAACCACAAAAAGCAGTCATTACCCAGAACATGCAGAACCACAGTTAACCTAGAGCGTAGATAGCCAAAATGAATTCAAGTTAATAGATTTCTACATTTTTTGCGAAAACAATTAGGGATAACATTGAATATACAGGAAAATATAAGAAATTATTTCAGATATTATGATCAATTAGGTAACTGAAAAGTAGCTTCCGCAATGTAAACTTTCAAATTAAATGTTATATTGGACATGACATAATGTATTCTAAATAATCAAAAGCAACAGAACATTGCTATACACCGCAAATGATCTGAGTTTTTTTATCTAGCACAAGTGATTATTCCATAAAATAGAAATAAATTGCCAAAATTATCCCAGTTGAAAAGACTGCCAAAATACAACTGCGTCGTATCATATTTTATTTTCAACTGCGTCGTATCATTACGTAAAAATCATTATTTTCTTGAATTTTTATTGAATTTGAATATTTTTGAATTTTATTGAATTTTGTATCAAAAATAGTAATCACTCACATTTCGAACTCACGGGAACAATTTTAAAAGCATGCTAAGGCAACATTGGAACACGTTGTCATATGGGTGTGCGATCACGTGCTTCAATGTATAATGCATTTGATACAGCTTTTTGGAATTTGTAGATGCTTATGATGCAGCCTTAATAGAATTGTATTGCATTTCCATTTTCATGGAACCAATGAGTGACCTCTGCTTTTGACAAAAGTTGTAAACAAGAAATGTTGTTGGATGTTATTAGCATACCTAGCACATAATTAAACCAATATGCAGCCTGCAATGAAAATACAACTGCGTCGTATCATATTTTATTTACAACTGCGTCGTATCATTTCGTAAAAATCATTATTTTCTTGAAAAATAAACATCTCTTTTTAATGAAAGTTTAGTAAATGATCCAAAATTATGTTTTGATGTTTATGTTGAACTCTGAAAACGAGTATATAATTGATTTGAAGGAGAAAACGATAGATAAAGCAATATGAACTGCGTCGTATCCACACATTTTCATAAAAATTCTGCCTCGCTTCGAGTTGCAAGTTCGCTATAACTTTTGTTTTACAAAATAGTTGTGCAAGCAACATATACCGAACGAAGCGGAAAATAGTGTAGCGTGTTAATACATATATCTCGTTTTCAGTCATTTCCAACAAAAAAAGTTATAAACAAAAACATACGTTTTTCGTTCCAAGATGGCGGTGTTTGTTTACATTTTGTAGGATACGACGCAGTTTTGATTCCCAGCCCTGAAATTAGAAATACGTGTAGTCGAGGATATTGAATGAGTGTGAGTTCAATACTGAATTTATTGAACGCGTTGAAAAACAAATTATATAATGCGAGACTCTGGTGAGCATAATATTATTTTATTCAACAGGTTCGATAAATTCAGTAATAACCTTACACAAAATTGATCACATACCAAAAATAAAGACCAAGAGCCATTTTTCATCGACGCGCCAACATTTTTATGCTTGTCCTTGTATAACGCAAATGACGTCACGTTAAACTACAAATGTATATGCGTGACCGTGCAATATCATTTTTACGGAACGGGTATGTGATAAAAAATATCTTATTACACTCTAGCGTCTAGTGTTTCGGTTCAAATATCCTGGAAATTGATCAGAAAGGTTGTTTTATTATCCCCCGCCGAAAGGCGGCGGGGGATATAGAAATAGCCTCCGTCCGTCTGTCCTTCCGTCCGTCCGATATTTTTGTCCGGAGCATATCTCAAAAAGTATTTAAGGTATCAACTTCAAATTTCATAGGTGGATAGGTCATATTGAGGAGAAGTGCAGTGCTTAAAAATGATGACTCTACCCTGCATAATTTTTGAGTTATTGCCCTTTGTTATTTTTCAAACTTAATTTTTGTCCAGAGCATAACTCAATAAGCATTTGAGATATCAACATGAAACTTCATGGGTGGATATATCCTACTTAGGAGGTGTGCAGTGCACAAGAATGATAACTCTACCCTTCATAATTGTTTGTTTATTGCCCTTTGTTATTTTTCATACTTAATTTTTCACCTGAGTGGAGCATAATTCAAAAAGTCTTTGAGATGTCAACATGAAACTTCATAGGTGGATAGATCTTATTGAGGAGGAATGCTGTGCACAAAAATGATTACTCTACCCTTTATAATTTTTGAGTTGTTGCCCTTTGTTATTTTTCATACTTTATCTCAAAAAGTGTTAGAGGTATCAACTTGAAACTTCATAGGTGGATAGATCTCATTGAGGAGGAGTGCAGCACACATGAATGATAACCTACCCTGCATTATTTTTGAGTTATTGCCCTTTGTTATTTTCAGCCATCAGTATTCACATAGGTTTCAAATCTGTAATCACTTCAGCCATCAGTTTTCATTACCAAAAGACCTCTTTAGATAAAATTATTCTGCTCTACTACATATACATTCTTACAATGAGCAAACACATTCGGCGGGGGATGGCCATGCTAACATGGCTCTTGTTGATTTCTAGGTCCAGTTTGAACATGGGTCACCTGTGGTAAAAACTAGGTCACACATTCCAAATATGGAAAATCCGTGAAATTTTCTGCCTAACTGTCGTGGGACTTGGTCAGAAAGGTGGTTTTGATAATTTCTAGTTTAAGTTTGAATATGGATCATCTAAGATATAGAAAACACTAGGTCGCGCAGCCTAAATTTAGGAAAATCACCTTTTTAGTTGTACTGATACTGTAAAGGCCATTGGTGACTTTCCTGCTTTATTGTTGGAGGAAGAGCTTTGGTACCTCCCCCTCCCCCCAAATACATTATTTCAAACACAAGCTGGCACCTGTGTAGAACCCTAGACCTGTAAGCTAGCTGAATATATTCCTCACATCACCTTCAATCTTGTGGGATCTATATATGAGCCGCGTTACGAAAAAACCAACATAATGGGTTTTTGACCAGCATGGATTCAGACCAGCCTACGCATCCGCACAGTCTGATCAGGATCCATGCTGTTCACTATCAGTTTCTCTACTTGTAATAGAGTTGGTAAGCGAACAGCATGGACCCTGATCAGACTGTTCTGATGCGCAGGCTGGTCTTGATTCATGCATTTTTTATTTTAATTTTGAAAATGTATTTTAAAGTAAAATATTGTGAAGTGAACACTTACAATCCACTTAAATAACCAAAAATAGGTCAAAATATGCAAAATTTAAGTCCATACTATGTTAGTCACACTGAAGAGATATAGTGATAAATTATGCAAAATCAGTCTTTAATCGAACATAACATGACATGCAAATTATGAGTTTTTTCTTAAAATCCTAGTACATTTTTTCAAGCTTGATTTTCTTGAAATATTTTGACTCATTTGGAGGCATGCAGCTTTAACCACTTCACAGGAAAGGGTCCCTATTTTAACAATACAACTATTAATTCCAACAGGTCGTTATATTAGTTATAGCCTATCATATGTATCATCTCTAAATTCTGCAAATACATGTACTTGTTTATATCAGGAAGTAATGAAAATTATAATATAACTTGGGACTGGATTTTATCTCAAAACACACTCTTGTTTGATGTTGCTGAATGGGAAAAAATGGTGAAATTAAATTAATTTTCAAAACAAAATACTATATAAACATCAGATTTTGTATTTATTATCTAAAATAATGAAACACAACATACATATATACCTTTTAATATGTCTCCTATATTTACAAAACATTAAAAATATTTATGAAACATTTTTGCATCACCTTAAGTGATAAATATGACAAATAAAACTATAAAAAAAGGAAAAAATATGTAGTGTTCTTTTTAATGAAATTAGATGGTGTATATGATACACAAATAAAACTTAATACAGAATTTATGGAAATAAAATCTACACAAAGCACAGAAGCAAATCTTTTTTCCCTTTTATTACCTCATCATTTTCAAAAGCATTTCTCTCTTTTTTTGTAACTTATTGTGCAAATAGAACAAGAGAGCTGAGTAATGACCCTGGATATAAAGTACATGTAAGTGACCCCTGGGGCATGATTTATGTACAACACTAAAAAACCATATTCACATTTTAGAAGCACTATTTATAGTACTTTCAGAAAAAGAAAACTTAATTAGACATTTTACTTTTTAAAAGTCTATGTAAACTAAGTGGCTCCCAGGGCGGAGTCATATTGGACCCCAGGTGCATGACTAAATGTATATTACCTTGCCAAATATTTAAGCTCTGGGCATTTGAGTTTCACAAAAGAAGTCTTAAATGTATATTTCTTTGCAAATCTATGTTAATTGTCAGTGACCCCATAAGCGGAGCCAATTTGATCCTAGGGGCAGGACTTACATAACTTTGGTTGAAGACTACAAACTGATGCTATATGCAAAATATCTAAGTTCTGGGTTTTGTTGTTTCTATGAAGAATGCTTTTAAAAATATCATTATTAAAATCTATTTTTAGCTCTTGTGACCTTCTTATGCATTACACTGGAACATTATACAGCTTTTGTACAGGGGCACCCCTAAGGCTCATTCCAGTGAAGTTTGGTCAAATCCACTATGTAGTCAAAGAGAAGATTTTTAAAGAAATTGTGAATAATGACTGATGACAGACACACTGCCATCCCAAAAGCACAACTCTTAGCACTGTGAGCTAAAAATTGATACCCTTTAAAAACAAAAAGGCCATGATGGCCCAAGATCGCTAACCCGAGATCCATTGCTAGTAAAGGTAATAACTCTTATACAGAAGTAAAGCATTGGGTAACATAATGGGGACAAGCCTCCCCCTAATCCCATGATTCATATAACTTTTCGTATAAATCAATCAGGCAATACTACATACCTTATATATTAGCTCTAGGCCATGCTGAAGTTTTAAATGAGGAAATTCAAATAATTATTTAAGTCTATATGTCTATATAAATTATGTGACCCTCCCCCTCCACCCCACCCTCACCTGGGCAAGGCCAATTTTGTAGATGGTCAAAAGGTAATGCAACAAGTCATTAATCTCAGCTTTAGAGCCCATGGTACACATTCTGTATTTACTATATTTAATCAGTAACAGTTATTGCCCTAGGTTATTGAGGATGCAAAAAACCTATGCTCATAACATTGTAGTTTCTGAGAAGAAGTTTTTTAAAGTTTATTTCCTATATGAGTCAATGTAAGAGAAGTAGGGTTAAAGAGATGATGACAGACAACATACATCCAAACAGCATGGTGTGGAAGGGTCGTAACTCCTTCTTTATTTAATATGTGTTACAACCCTTTGCACCAAGGTCTCAAAATTAATCTATTATTATTCATGTTATAACAAAATGCATATACACGAGTTCACTTAGCTTTATTTTGAAATATGAGTCAATGAATTTACAACATACCCCCATTACCCTAGTCTAGGACTTGGGTGAGAATGTTTATGAAATTGTTGATAATAAGTCTACATCTAAGTTGTCTAGTTTTTCAAGTTACTTATAATACAACATGTAAAACTGATTCATTAAATGAACATTTTAATGGCAATGTGACATAATATTTACTATCATTTGTTTTGAATGTTTTTAAAATCATATGGTAAAAATATGTACAACATTAATTTTAAAGTAATCAATTTACTTCAAATAAAACAAGAAATTTTCCTTTGTGATTAACTTAAAAACAGAGTACCTGATTAATCAAGCACTATTCAAATATATTCAATACATGTATGATGTTTTCTTTTTCTTGGCAAACAAATATTATCCCAATCAGTTATGTGAAACTCAAATAGGCACACACAATGTCAAGAACACATGACTAATATAAAGAACACATTGAATGGAATAATAATACACATCATCTATTCAAGCGTTCACAAGAGTAAATATGATGGCTAACTGGTGTCTTTGTTTCGTATCTTTAATTGAAGGTAGGTATATGATGACTTGAAAAACAAGAGCTGTCGGTAGGACAGCAACGCTCGACTATTCTTAGTGCTTGATAGTAAAAAAAAATGCTTGATACAATTACCTCCTCCTGTTTACAGGTTGGGGTAATGATGGTGAACAAGTGTGCAAAGTTTCAAAGCCATATGTCAATGGACTTTGAAAATATTTGAACTATTACAAAAACTTTAACGTAAATTCTAAGTCGAAAAAGGGGCATAATTCTGTCAAATGCTTGATACAGTTACCTCCTCCTGTTTACAGGTTTGGGTCATGATGGTGAACAAGTGTTCAAAGTTTCAAAGCCATATGTCAATGGACTTTGAAAATATTTGAACTATTACAAAAACTTTAACGTAAATTCTAAGTCGAAAAAGGGGGCATAATTCTGTCAAAATGCTTGATACAGTTACCTCCTCCTGTCTACAGGTTGGGGTCATGATGGTGAACAAGTGTGCAAAGTTTCAAAGCCATATGTCAATGGACTTTGAAAATATTTGAACTATTACAAAAACTTTAACGTAAATTCTAAGTCGAAAAAGGGGCATAATTCTGTCAAAATGCTTGATACAGTTACCTCCTCCTGTCTACAGGTTGGGGTCATGATGGTGAACAAGTGTGCCAAGTTTCAAAGCCATATGTCAATGGACTTTGAAAATATTTGAACTATTACAAAAACTTTAACATAAATTCTAAGTCGAAAAAGGGACATAATTCTGTCAAAATGCTTGATACAGTTACCTCCTCCTGTCTACAGGTTGGGGTCATGATGGTGAACAAGTGTGCAAAGTTTCAAAGCCATATGTCAATGGACTTTGAAAATATTTGAACTATTACAAAAACTTTAACGTAAATTCTAAGTCGAAAAAGGGGCATAATTCTGTCAAAATGCTTGATACAGTTACCTCCTCCTGTCTACAGGTTGGGGTCATGATGGTGAACAAGTGTGCCAAGTTTCAAAGCCATATGTCAATGGACTTTGAAAATATTTGAACTATTACAAAAACTTTAACCTAAATTCTAAGTCGAAAAAGGGGCATAATTCTGTCAAAATGCTTGATACAGTTACCTCCTCCTGTCTACAGGTTGGGGTCATGATGGTGAACAAGTGTGCCAAGTTTCAAAGCCATATGTCAATGGACTTTGAAAATATTTGAACTATTACAAAAACTTTGACATAAGTGGTTACGCCGACGCGGACACCAACGCCGACGCCGACGCTCGGGTGACTACAATAGCTCTACTTATTCTTATCGAATAGTCGAGCTAAAAATACAGATTTCGCTCTAAAACATATTGTATATGATTCTTCATTAAGATATCTTCAATTCTTGGACAAAAGAAATGACAAAATATGAGCACCTGACTGATAAAATACCTTTACAATAAAACAACTAACACACTTAAAATTTCAAATAGCAGAAAAACAATCATGTGCTGTTTGAAGCACAGTCATGATGCACTTTACAAATACCAGGAGCCAATTACATTTAAGCCAGATATTTTGGCTTCACCGGCAGCCAGTTACATTTGAGCCAGATATTTCGGCCTATACCTACAGCCAGTATTATGAGTATAAGATTCTTATAGCCTCATTCTGCAGTACAATACTACCTTTCTATATTTTACACATACATTAGACTACCATGAATATGACCATACAACTACAACATATAGGAAACAGCTTTTTTTGTTCTTTTTTTTATTTTTTATTTTCAATTTATTTTAAGAATAAAAGACCATGATGATTTATGTTATCCAATGATAGCTGCATTTGTCATTTTTCCCTGATAAACATCTCAAAACAAAGACACAGACACAAAAAAGGCTCTTGTGACATTCTTATAATTGCCCCACGCCACCCCCATTATTCCCGGTAGATACTACCACCAGAATTAGCTTACTAGAATATATAATTTTAATATTCTCTTTTTCATTATTTTACATTTCTCAAAAATAGCTTTCCAAAGTCTTCATCATTTCCTGAATAAGGAAAATAAAAAAGAAATAAAACTAGTAGTTAGCTAACAGTTAAAATTTGATCCATCCTGTTTTTTATTGCTTTTTCACAGCATTTATTATACTAAAGTAAAATTATCTCACACTTCAGCTATAGTTCGTGTTATTGATTCAACACATATTTTTCAACTAGTAGCGCCCTCTCTTATGATTATGGTATGGAGGGCTCGGCCTCGAGTCTTTTTCACGTCTATAACTCTGTATTACACGATCATGCTTCTGAAGCACCTTTTGTCTCCGTGATTCAAAGCTTTCCGTATTTTTATTTCTGTTCTCGGCATTTCCATTCCTATTATAACTACTTGGACTGTGTCTATATTCATCTCTTTCATTATTTTCTGGGTTGCCATCTCGTCTAGTACGACTATTTGAGCGCTCACGATCTCTGTTAGAATAACGATCTCTATCTTGTCCTCTCCGTTCATCACGATCTTGTTGGTCGACTTGTTGCCCACTACTGAGATCATTTCCATGCCACGTGTGAGATCTATGAAAACTTGGAGGGTGTTGCCCTACTGAATGCTGAATCCTCATTGGCTGATTCATTGCAAATGGGTTGGGAGGCATAGTGTTCATTTGCATAAATTGATTATTTTGGTAAGGCTGAGGAGAAATAATAATTTGAGTGTTCTGGTATGGGTTGTTAAAGTTCCTGAAGCTTCCCTGATTCATAGTCGGCTGCTGGTGTTGTTGTTGTTGTTGCTGCTGTTGCTGTTGATGTATTGAGCCTGATACACAAAGAAATAAATGATTATTTATTCATTTTTTTGTAAAAGAATATATTCTTATGGTACATGTTACATGTTAGTTATATTTTCTCCTCAAATTTTCAATATTGTAACTCTTGCCTGTCTGACATTTATAATTTATTTTTTTACATTAAATTAAAATAAAACCCATTCATATCATCATTAAGGACTGACACAAGAACTACAACAACTGTTCTTTTAAGTCTTTCAAATTGATATACAATTTATCAGGATCTTTATTTGCTACATTTACTATAAAAATGGTTAAGTTAGGGATGTGGAAATATTCGTGAATTTCGCAAAGTGACAAAAAATGTTAAAATTCCCTCTAGCATAAATGTCATTTAATGCACGATTCACGAATATTTCCTGACGCAAAAAATCTGGAATTTCAAATTCTCAAAAATATCCACTTATAACAGTATGTAATATCAGTTTACAGAGAAAGAAATTTTGTATCAGTTTATATGAAATGAAATTTTAAGATCAAAATAAAGTTGTTTTACTATCTAAATGTACATAAAACTTTAACTACATGTATATCATCACTAATATCAGCATACTATAAAATACTATGTCCACTTACATGTCTTTCAATGAGATAGAAAATTGGGCATCTTACCCTTTTACAGCTTTTTAGTTTATGTCTTTTTTAATATAGTAGCTTATTTTTTCATGTGATATAACTTTAGGGTTGGGAGTGCTTTCAATACATAAACAACAGTGCATTACCTTACAAATAAAATGAGCCGCGTCATGACAAAACCAACATAATGGGTTTGCGACCAGCATGGATCCAGACCAACCTGCGCATCCGCGCAGTCTGATCTGGATCCATGCTGTTCGCTTACAAACCCTATTACAAGTAGATAAACTGATAGTCAACAGCATGGATCCTGATCAGACTGCGCGGATGCGCAGGCTGGTCTGGATCCACGCTGGTCGCAAACCCATTATGTTGGTTTTGTCATGACGCTGCTCAAATTATGCATTTATGATTAAAATATTGCTACATGTCCACACAATCACAGAAGCTTGCAAAATTATGAGCATAATCACAAAGTAGCCACTTATTCGTTTCACAATTTGCAACAATCTTGACATAATCATTTGGGATTTTAATAGTTCCAAATTTAGAGTCAAACAGACAGACATACTGACAAAAAAATGGAGGGCATACCCTTGTGTAAACATTGTTAGTGGAAAATAAACTGATAAACATATAGTATAATATATACTATTATATCATACCTGGCCGAGTCTGTAGTCGGAGATTTCTACCAAAAAGCTGTAATCCATCCATCAACTTGATTGTATAAGGTACTGATACATCATGGCTGAATGTAACAAAAGCAAAGTTTTTCTGTTTCCCTGTGTCTCTTTCTTTTGCTATTGAAACCTTTTCCAATGGCCCAGCCTGAAATAGTTGTACGACATTTAGCCAAATTAATTCAGCATGTAAACGGTTTGACCCATTTAACCCATTACTTCATGAAAATTTTGTGAAAAATGGCTGTTTTCATTGAAAAGTCTCCCGTTACAAGTACAAATTGCTATAAAACTATAAAAACTGCTTCAATACTAATCAAACTTGGCACAAATATTCACTGATCAAAACTGATTTGAAAGTGCTGCAACTTCTCAATGAATTGAGATAGAGTAAAAGGCTTTTCAGCGTCGGTTACACGTTACCTTAGGATCAACCTGGGGTCATTTTTAGCCTCTTACAACTTCAAGTCAAAAATTTTCTTGGCGATCTTTTGGATGGGGGGCAGCGCCTAAAAAGTGGTCATTTTTTTAAGCAACATTTCTCAAACGAAAACAAGTGTTGGGGGCCTAAATAAGGCATTTTTTCACCATTTGGGATAACAAATGGGGGGGGGGGGTGAAAAAGGCGTTAAAAGGCAAGTATATCGGGTAATGGGTTAACAGAAATGTTGATAAAAAAGTGATCACTTTTTCATTGCCGCCCCCATTGAAATGGTAGATCAGGGGGTTGCCAGAAGGGGGATGTGCCCCCTAGTGTTTGGGGGGGGGGGAAGAAAATTTTGGACATGTGACAGGCTAAAAATGGCCTCAGGTCGATCTTAGGGTAACTAGTAACTGACGCTGAAAAGCCTTTACTTTATATCAATTCATTGAGAAGTTGCAGCACTTTGAAATCAGTTTTGATGGGAAAAAAACAATGCAAAATAATGATTTTTCGCAATTTTGGGACGACACCCTGTTGCCATGGTAACAGGTAAACTGTTACAGAGGCTATAGTCTAGTCAACATTTGTGCCAAGTTTCATCAGTGCTGAAGCATCTTTCATAGTTTCATAGCAGTTTGAACTTGTAACAGGAGGCTTTTTAATGAAAACGGCCATTTTTCACAATAATGCTCATGCGGTAAAGGGTTAATCAGTTGCTTATGACACAGTTCACTAAGATACAGACAAAGGGAGCATTATATTTTATATTTTTTATCAGTTGCTTATGACACAGTTCAAAAGATCCAACAGACCTTTTATCTTTGCCAGCTATCATAATGGACATCATGCCCACAATCCTGACAAAAATTTAATTGGGTCGGACAATTTTTTTTATTTTCACAATAGTCTGTCTATAGATATTAATTGTGATAGATTTTAAATAGTTAACATGAAAATATATTATGTTTTTGCCGCTTATTGATCCATAAAAAAATATGTCACATGTAAGCACTTTACCCGGTCACAAATATGAGAAAATTCGTCCCACTTTAAGAAGTTGGCGGCCGATCGATTTGCATGCAAAGGGATGTTCGGATCAGCTGATGATATTCTACATCCCCAAGTATGGGCAAGTACAGAAACACTGATAGAAACAGTTTATTTGGATTGAATGTATGGCTAAAATGACTTCTTTTTTATTTTGAATTCACGAGACTGTGACTACATGTGTATTACGTTAAAATGATTGATAAAATGTTAAACTTTTACATCCGAAATCAGTGTCTATTCTAGGATTTGAAAAAAAGTGGGATTTTTATCGAAAAATTGAATTTTTTTACATTTGTTGATCTTTTTCCTTCTTTCTTTATGTAAAATTTTTCCACTGCCTCTGAAAAAATAGGGGGGAATTCTCAAAAATATGAGTGAATCCCCCAGGGCTCCTAGAATAGACACTGGAAATGAGGCAAAAGTATCATTGCTTTTGTCTTTTTCCTACCAACATTTTTTTTTTAAACATTTCTTTGGAGATTTGAGTCGGCCCATAAATAGTTTGAAGCGGTCAATAATTTGGCCGGGGTTCTAAATTCTACTTAATGAGGACACTGCATTGGCGCAAAGTTTTTCTGATTGGAAAATTTGGTGGCACAAATCTACTTGTGAGAATAATGATAATTGATGATATGTCATTATGTATTAAAAAATCATCGAGAAAATTCAACACATTGTTCAGATATCAAACTGTCCGAACTTTCTACCGTATCCGAATACTATACCTGTAAGAAGAGTTCATAAAGAATCTCGTCTGTGACTTTTTCTGAGAGATTCCCTACCCATAGTGTTCTGTCTACATCATTAGACATACTTGCAATATCATGAGTACGTATACTTAAAATCAACACGTGAATATTACAAATATTTGTTGTTTCGTTTTCAGTTGGAAGAAATTTGGACGAGTTGTCGTTCTTTTGAAGGCAATAGGCTACTAAATTGAAACGCGTGACTATCTGGATTTCTTACCAGTACATCTCTAGACAGGTGGGAAACACTGAAAGTGTTTCTGAAAAATCCCAAGGATGTTTACCCAGGATCGAACCCGGGACCTCAGGAGTGACAGCCAGTGGTCTAACCAACTGAGCTTTCGCGCCACCTTTGACGCTCCAATAGATTAACCCAACCGTATTGCTTAGTTCAATACCTCTATATAAATGTTGTTTTAGCTTATATTAATAAACACAATATAAGTCAAGTTCAATCCTGTTTTATTTGTCATGTGTTTTATTAAGAAATTATTGATTCATGATAATTCCAAACAAAGAGTTTAAGAAATACGTAGACTCTAGGTAATTAATAAGACCACAAAGTTTTCAAATATATAACATAAGGAAGACAATTTGGATAGATATTTGATAAGAGAAGTTAAGGTGGCTTAGCCTTTTGACAGGTAAAAGTTACCTTATTGCCCGAGAACACAAGCAATGATCGAGAATGGTCATAAATCGCCCTTTAATAGGCTGTCTAAAAATGAACTAAAAAATCTCATGCTTGAATTTAGAGAAAATAGGGGTAGTTTCAAATTTATCAATTACTTAAGAAAGCATTATCAATTAATAAGAAAATCCAGAAAAGTGTAACATTTCAATTACCATAAATTTAAGAGGACCAATTTTACACTTGAAAAGTCATGGATTGAAGTGAATCTGAAACGTACGTTTTACTGTAAATAGAAGAAATTTAGAGACAAATAATTTTAAAGAATAAAAGATAAATAGAATGGTTTTAGAAATAATCAAAATCTGCCACACATGAGCATTTTGTGAAAAATGGATGTTTTCATTGAAAAACCTCCTGCTACAAGTTTAAATTGAAACAAGTGTTTGATGTCTAAATAGGGCATTTTTTCACCATTTGAGGTCTCAAAAAGGGGATGAAAAGGCGTGAAAAGACGTCTACATGTATATGACGTAATGGGTTAACAGTTGTAAATAATAGCTTGATTATCTGTCCCTATTCGTACACTATGTTTCTCTGTTTAATTATCAAAGACAAAGTTACTGTCCTGCACTTTTCATCAATATATAACTTAGTAAACGCATGTTACTCGCCGAACGTAGAATATTTTCAGACACTGTCAACATTTGCATTTTTATTTAAAGTCATTTTATCCCGTTTGGGTAATGCCATTTTTTTTGTTTAATTTTTTTTTGATATGCCTCACACACCCAAAAGACATCTCGCCTTTTTACCAATAAGTTAAAGGCAAACCAAGAAACTTTTGTATTAAACTTGCATTCTATTAATTAATATTAAGTACGTTTCTCCATGAAAGGCCATTGCAAAATAGCTACATGTACTGTACATGTGCAGATCATTCCCGAGCAACTGATAACAGTTGTTACAAGGTAGCATAAAACACAATTTGAAAACTACAGATGAAAGTACTACGAATAAAACTGAATTGTTTTCAATGTCAAAAGAGAGAGTGTTTACTGTTCAGACAGATTTTGATCCTAAATTAACCTATTGACAAAATCTGTTACACTACATTTGAAATCTTTTTTTTACTTAGGAAATACCTGACAGCTTATCTTCAACTCTTTCAATGTTATGTGCAACATTTAATTGACAGGAGTGCCGTATGACTGAGCAATATCCAAGTTGTTGTCTGCTGACTGGAGTGGGAAATGCTCATATGAACAGACTCAATACATCAGTAATTTAAACTATAAAATTTGCGTTATTTGTTTTGGTTGTACTCCGTCAGCCAATTTTATTGCTATTGTTCAAGTTTGTCTAGGTCACCTTAGCCCCAGTGTCATTTGGATTATGTGATAGTGGGATAAACAACAGTATGTCAACCATATGTCACGTATGTTTCAAGAACAAATCGCTATGAACTCTGTATAACACAGGAATTAAATTAAAGAGATGCCCATCAAACATGTCCCTTGTATTTGCGTAGGAAACGCATTGGCCATGTCACTGTAGGTTTTCCATTATCTTAGTTCATTTTATAAGTTGTCATATGTTCATAGTTTCTTGTGTGATGCTAAAAATATTAGATATACAATTTAATTGGGACGTCCGTGGCCGAGTGATTAAAGTCGTTGTCTTCAAACCACTTGCCTCTCACCGCTGTGGGTTCGAGTCTATATAAGATATACAAAGAATATTACATGGTGTCAGAAGTGGGATTGAACAAACGATATTATAATGAGAACATGGTGAACAATTGAAAAAAAAAAAGGAAGAAAAAATACTGAGTGTTTACTAATAAGAAAACATCACAAACAAAAAAATAAACTATAAAGAAAAAATATATAAGTGTGGAATATATATGGAATAAACACATACATTGTTTGATAAACATATATTTGTTTATATAAACTGATTACTTAATTGATATTTAAACATGTGTTATTCTAACGTTATTTTAAATTGAACCATATTCCTTTATGATTTATTAACATGTGGATACCATTCAGCTATGTATTTAAAAAGAGGGAAATGTAATGATATTGAGTTATTTTATATTCATATGACCTTTAACCTTAATACTCATTTCTGTAAATTTCCACTGACCACGTTGTACCTGTAGAATGTTATATCCTGGGAGATTTCCCGCCAATGCATCAGTCCAGATAATAAAACTGACTAGAACACACTTGTGTCTTTTCTCTATCTATCTATCTATCTCTGGATACTGCCAACCCCTCTTACGAGTGTTAAAGGCAGGAATTTAGTGCACGTCGGATTGTTAGTAAAAGGTGAAGAGAAAAGCTAAAAAGAAAAGTCCAAACATTGACATGCTTGGAAGGTGAGACTGAAAATGTATTCTAGTCATGGTTAAAATGTTAATAGTGAAACAAGATTTGATAAGAGATAAAATAGTTTAAAAACACTGGGAGTAAGACTAGTACTGCAAACCCACCACTGCCTGTTTGAACTGACTCAGGTTGGGCAGGGTGGCAAATGTTACTAGGAAGTTTATTCCATAGTATAATGCTATGAGGGAAGAAAGAGTACTTATGGTAGTCGGAGGATACCTGTATTTGACGTAGGATAAGGGATGCATATGTCTGGTTAATCTATGTGGGGTTTGAACATAAGTTGGGAGATTAATTGCAACTAGGTATCTGGTATAATCTTATAAAACATTATCAGTCTACAGTCCAGTCTGCGATGTTCAAGGGATCGCCAGCCCAGTTCTTCCTGCATGGCTGTGACACTAGAGTGAGGGGCAGTAATCCCTTTTAACCCATCTTATTGCACGTCTCTGGATATCATCTCAACTTTGTCAATATTGGTTTTAGTATAAGGAGACCAAATAGATGAGGCATATTCAACCTGTGGGCGGACCAGGGACTTGTATGCTAGTTCTTTTACTTTCTCATTTTTAGTGATGACATTTCTTTTAATAAAGCCAAGGGATCTGTTTGCATTGGAAGTTATTCGAGATATATGTGTATTAAATTTAAGGTCAACAGATAGATCTAGTCCGAGATATTTAGCATTTGTAACAGACTCTAGGATTTGGCCATGGAGCATATATTTGTGTTTAATTATGGTCTTATTTTTGGTGATATGGATGACTTGGCATTTTGAAGGGTTAAACTCCATGTCCCACTGCTTCTCCCACAGAACCATATTGTCTAGATCATGTTGGAGAGTTGGGGGTCTGAGGAGGAATTGATGGTTAGGTATACAGCAGTGTCGTCTGCAAATAATCTGACTTGGGATTTGAGGACATATGTGAATCGCATGGACCAACTTTAATAGTATATAAGATATACAAAGAATATTACATTGGACAGAACTAATGACTCTTTAGTATGTGGCGCCCTACTGGGCTACTTGTCGTCTGCCCTGTTTTACAGGTTTTTGTTGGGGATATATTCGTTGAATCCCATTTCTTGTTTTCTTGTTGATCTTTGATTTCATATTTTACCCAACATCATAATATTATGTCTGAACTCTAAAAGGATTAGTGAGCACTCTCTATTGCTGCCCGATTTCAATGATAAAATCTTCATAACACCTTTTATATTTTAATTACAGAATGCTCGAACGTTACTGTAAGTACAATATATGCCGTATTCTGATACACGGTGTAACAACACTAAATAAATTCAGTCTGTTCTGAATTCTAAGTAGTAGTAAATCAAACAAGTATCTTTGTTTACGTTTTTGGACTGTTCCAATTAAAGGGGGTTATATTTTCCTTGTTATTATCCTTGTTCATTTTTTGAAAATATATTGTTGGTTCATACTCATTTTTATACTTAACATGTTTTTTGTTATATGACTGGCATGTATCTTCTTCTAAATATAAGGACATAGTTTAAACCATAAAGTTCTATATTCAAACATTCCCTACTCTATATTTCAAATGGCATAGACCTTTAACACGGATCAAGGCAATATGGCACAGAAAAATGGATTGGTTTGAATAACGTGACACAATTTGAAAAAGAAGTGTTAAAGTGTAATTGTATACTCATTTCATAATGGCAGAACTTTTATCCGTACACGTTCATATTCCCCGGAAAGATGACATTTGGCAGTTAAAGTCACAAAGTGGATTAAGTAGAAATTCTAGCGCACCACAGTTTGACAAGCAAAAATATGACCTCCCAAAGAAAAGAAACTTAGATATAGAGTTTAAGGATCTTAAATACACAGTAAAAGATGGGCATCATAAGAAAGGTAAAGAAAAGTTCCATTTTGATCTACCTAATGAAATAATTTCAAATTTTATTTGTTCAAACAGAAGTAGATCTGCTATGAGTCTATATCCACATACTGCCAGTTTTCAATCACAACCACTTTTCAATCACCCCTGGAAATTCTTTATTTTTGACCTTATTTGTCATGTAACCAAACTGTATGCACATCTTGTATTTACCTTGACTACATTTATCAGCAGCAATGTCAATTATGGCGTTAAAAAAGAAAATAACAGTATTTTAGTTCAAAATATGTAAAACTTGTGTTTTCCACTAAACCTTTATTTACCCAGTTACAAATCGCAATAATTTTCTAAAAATAATTGATTTACAGACTCAGTTTTTTGTCAGTCTGCAAAAATGGACATTAAGTTAGACAACTGTTTCAATATCATTAAGTCATAATGTATACTGCACTTCAATAGCTATAATTTTAAAATGTACATATTTTACCATACAATTCTTAATTGGAAGGTTATACGTCAGTAAACTAACAGTCACTTAAACAAGGAAAAACATTCTCTCTGATAACTTTTCAGAAAGCTGTCACTAGAATGGGGTCATATAGACCCTAAGATTCTAAAAATTTCACAAGAACATGCTTTTTCTGTCATGTACATCCATACCCCAATTGTTACAGCTTTACTACTGCAAAAAGATATCAAGATTGAAAAATGTCATTATAAATAGGTTAAAATTGTTTATTACCATTTATCTGAAGTTGAGTTTGTCAAAATTTCTTCAAAATACATAACTGGTTATATTTTAACATTGTATGACAATTTTTATGTGGTACAGTTTATATTTTGTTAACTGATTGAAAAGTGGTTGTGAAATTTAGAAGAACAGGAAAATGGGTCAGTAATGATTTGTCCTCGATTTATAATAATAATTCAGGTAAAATTTTAAAAAGTTGTTGCATTTATTAGCTGAAATGCTAATATTTGCAGAATTGTAAGAGAAATTTTATTTTTATAATTTCACTGTCAGTTATTATAGAAAAATCTGTTAGCTGATCGGAAAGAGGCAGTACGGGGATACAAAAGTACAGTAAACACTGTAAAGAAGACCAATGTTGGGCATGTCAGCTGTTCCAAACAGTGATTAATCTTAGGCTGTGTTGGACATTGGATGAAAGTTTTCCAGTTGGTTAATTTATGCACTGCAAATCTATTCATCTATTCGCTATTGTAACCAAAGTCCGACCCTGATGCATGGGTGGAGATATGAGCAGTCTCAGTTTCCATCTTATGTCTGCCCCAGCATTGCAATGTAACTGTGGTGGTTTTGAGTGCTTTGATTTAAAGGGTATATATTACCAGGCAGGGCAGGGCATTTAGCAGGGGTTTGAAATTCTAAAAGTCAAAATCCTAGCTTTTCAACTGGGTTGGCGACTTGGCGCAGGCTGAGATTAATATCAGCTTTATTAAATTGACATGAACAGTTTGACACATTTTACAGACTGATTTTTCCTGCTGTGAAACTGTTGGAAAAATACATCACCCATCAAAAATTATAATAATTAATGTCTTTGACAACTCTAGGATAATTACTGAACTATATGCTAAAATTGCCATTAAAAGAAATCAGGACTATAAATGATACTTAGAGAATGCGTACCTGCAAAGCTTCCTGTCATAAAACTTGTTGAGCCTTAGCAGCTTTGAGATTTTCTACTGTATGTCTTCAAGACTTCAAGTTTATAGAGACACTTTCAATACCTAAGTTATGTTTAGTTGGCGTAGATTTTAAGCATCGCCATGATGCTGAATAAAACAATAAAGCAAAGAGCCCCTTATTGTATTTACCTGTAAAATCTTTAATAGCTCCTGTTGATGATGTCCTACAGGGCAAAGAAATAGAAATTTTATTTTGTTAATTACAGGTGGTTTGAATTGCAATTACACAAAGTGCAGTTTACAGTACAGCCTTGAAAAAACAGCTAGCAGTTTTTATATATATATATGGATATTATCTCAGATTACTGCATATCAAGGCTTTCACATATCAGTGTCCTTATGTTTACTTTTTAATTTAGCATATATTGTATGTACTACAAAAACTCAGAAAAAACTTAAGGTACAGAACATGTAAATCCCTACAAGAAGCATCATTGGCATACAATCATGTACATGTGTCATTTTGGAAGATATCACAGCTACATGTACATCACAGCAACAAAATCACCTGGCAGTGCAGGGACATTAGGAAGGGGAAATCAAATCCAGGTTAACTCCAGCCCGAAAACTAACTCGCTTCCCTGATTTATCTTGGCCCTATACTTACTTGGCATTGGTCAATTCGGTTCAAGATTATTTTTCATATATTCAACATTACTTGAATTATCATTTAACATTTCATATTTATACCAACAAAACGCTGCCAACTTTTTTTTTTAGACTAAGTGATTGTAAATATGAATATTTTATGTTTCTCTAATTATGGCTATTTGGTCCTTAGAAGTTTATTAACCAAACAATCTATATCCTAATAGATTTTATTAGAGCTGAGAATCTGATGGCATAGGTTGACGATTTATTGGGGAAAAAAGTGCAAGGAAGTGGATAAACTAAACAGCTCAATTTTATTTCAAACAATTTGTTGGTGTGTTTGAAGTTGTACTTACCAAATGGTTGTCTGAAGAAAGTTAAGTTTTATGTGGCTTTTGTTTTTCTTTTTTGGATGGGAAGAGTAGGGGGGAGGGGTGAAATTAAGGTTTCATTGATTTTGTTGCTTATGTTTATGATCCTATTTCACTGATAGTTACTGCTGGCAGCTGTTAGTTAATTCATTAAAAAGGTATTAGTCTTAGAAGAAAATATAAGATCTTTTTTGTATATAATAATGTACTAAATTGAATTATGTATTTTTGGCAGGATTTTGTAAATATTTACAATCTTAGTTTTTGTAATGTGTAGATTTTCATCTATATGTTTATTTTATGCATGACACCTGTCAGTAAACTAGTTAAGGAATGGAACAGATGCTTTGAAAAGTTTCCAAAAAACACCATTTAGAAATCTGATTGTACACTGTATGTTTGCCTAAATAGAATGTTGTCTGTAGAGTTTAAGAAAAAAATGATGTACTTTGAATTGAAATATTTTAAGTTATAAAAAAATTACATTGAGAAAGTACAGAAAATTATTTGAGAGTACTCACTACTGGAAAACATGCAAGTACATTTCATGATTTCATCAAAACTAAAAACGGAAATTAATGTGGATTTACTTATTAACATATTAAGATTTTGAAATAATGTTTTTCCTTTGTAATTAACTCCGGTATAAAAAATGCATTCAAAGTCATGTAACAATAGATTGATTTCACACTTGCCAAAAGTGTTAATGCAGATTAAATTATGCAGAATAAATTATGGTGACCTCATGCAACCTACCAGTCTGATTTTTTTAAATTAGATTATAAGCATTTAAGATTATCTAAGTCAATTTTGGATACTTAAGTATTAAATGCATAAAGGTTAAATGAAAATATTGTTCTATAGATTCAACATAAATATTTGTGCAATCTTTAATTTCCTGTTTAAAGTTATAAATTATAACTTACAAACTTTAAGTATAATATAATTAAATTGCCCCACCCCCTCCAAAAACGAAAAGAAATAAATATATAGAACAAACATGTACTGTCTTTGGACTATTGACTTGATTTTGTTTGTATTATAAATGACCTAGTTACAGATTTTATGGCAAATAAGACATGACCTAGACACAGATTTTATGTTTAATTGTCAACTATTGTTACAATTAGTGTGCTATTTTTCACCCCCTGTAAGTTTTAAAGGCTTTGTGCCAGGAAAAACAATTAAATTTTAATACTGGGATTACACAGGAATCATAACTATAACTTGGTGTATGTGCTGATGTTCTTACATAAACAAATGTTTTGTTTGTTTGCTTGGTTTGGTTTTACGGCACACCCACACAATTTAGGTCATTTGGCGCAGAAACAGAAAAGAGGATTTTGGCTAACCTCAGGTGTTACAAACTTAAAGCAACACCAGGGGTCAAAACCACCTCACCTGCTGAAGTTAGAAGATGCATAGACTCCAGTACTTTGTACCAATTAGGTTGTCTCTAAATACAATCACACAGGGAAAATAGTCAGGCTGCAATTCTGATGCCTTAACCCTTTCAGATAACCCCTAAGCCACAAGGGGCACTTAAACAGATTACAGTTTTAGTGTGGCATATACATGTTCAATAGTATTATGTAAAATCTAACACTCCAAAAATAAGGTAAAAGGATAGATATATTAATTTTGTATAAATGTAAATTATATGAAACCACTGTTTCATGTATTTTTTGTCCCTGAACTTTATGTATTGAAGCTTTGGCATTGATGCAAGTTTAAAGCATGTTATAATGAAAAAAAAAAGCTGACAGATACCGTACTTATTCCATTTAATTTGTGTGACGAAACAATACTTTGTGTGATGAACCGTTTGAGTCTGAGGGATTTCAGTATTAAAATATTTAAAGTTAGGCAGTTATCACTTTAGAGTCTTTAGAGTTTAGTAGTGCATTGTGTATGCAGTTAGACTGTGGATTCAGATGCTGCAAACACAGTTTTATAACATTAATTATCCTTTCATATCAATGATGTATGAAAATGATACATCTATAACACCTTGCTTAAGGTCATAGAATCTGACTTTGTTTTATTTGTCTGTCTTTTACAAAGCAATTCTATACTTTTCCATAAACTATGCTATAAATTTAAAAGGCAAATTCCAGAAAAATTTCACAGGTCCATACAGCTGGTAGGACAACGTCATAAGGGCAATACTGATAATAGACTTTTAGCGGCCCCTGCTTCCTCAGATTACCCATAATTGAAGTCTTTTACCATAGTATCATAAAAGGGGCTGAAAGTTCTGATTGAAACTGATATACAAGAATTCATTTATGCATGATTCACTCCAGCGTGATACATAGATCCATCCTAATTTGTTATAT